GGGGATAATGTAAAGTTACGCTTGCGTTTCCACTCCCCTGCCCTAGTTCTCTACACCACCCTCCATGTTTCTACCATTTGGAAGTTGTCCTTACCGTGCCCCGTCGTGTTGATAGTATGCCATTATGCCATTTACCATCATCCATCAGAACAATCCCAATTACCGATCGCATTCTTGTGTCAATACATTAGGGCCTCTGTTTCGCAATACCTTCATGTTCATCCTGAAAGCTGATAATCCAAGTAACCCTTTGAATTTGTTCTTCCCTCTATCTGATGCAATGGGGTAAAAGACGTATAACAATCCTCCATCCCACGCCGAATCTCTGACTCAGGCATATGCATATACGCGTCTAAACCCCATACATCTTCCGCGCATTATCCCTCCCCTCCCTCATAACTTTGTCAACATCCCATCCCTTCCCCGCAACACCCGCCACGAACTCTGCCGTCCACGGTATCATTGCCGTATGGGACAACGGCAATTTCTTGCCTTTCAAAGATGCCGGGAGGGAGGCGTAGAGGTTGCCGGGAGTCATGAATGGTGCGTCTGTTTCTAGGAGAATTCGGAGAGGCTCTGAGGGGGAGGCGGAGGACATTTGGGAGATGACGGCGGAGGTGTTGGTGTTTGAGCTGTATGTTATTACGCCTGTGAACAGAGACGAGGGGTTAGGAGAAGGAGGGAGAAGTACAAGGAAAGAGTACGTTACCTGTTATACCGATGTAGAGATTCGGGAAGTGGGCGAGGAGACGGGCCGCAAATTCCGGGGAGTCAGAGAGGCAGTGGACATGGATCTGCGTGTTTTGTAAGCAAGGAATAAAAGATGCAGGAAGGAAGGTAACGAACTTTGTAGTCTTTTGGCACCTCCTCCTTCAATATTTTCTCCGTATCTTCCTCAGCTTCCCGGGTATGTATAACCAGCGGCTTCCCTAGCCTAACGGCGTGTTTCAGCTGCCGTCTGAATACGTTTCGTTGCACATCGCGGGGTGAGTTGTCGTAGTGATAGTCGAGCCCTATTTCGCCAAGGGCAACGCATCGCGGGTGAGTCATCGCTTCTAATCTGAGAGGGGAGGAGGTGAGGAATGGAGGGAACGACTAAGATGGGCAGGGTACATACATGTCCTTTTCTACGGCGTCGTTGTAGTGTTTGGCGTCATGGCTGGTTTCGAAAGTTAGCTTCTACGTCAGGCCTGATAGGAAGATACAACTGACGGATGAACCCCTTGAACATACAGCATCAGCATCAGAACAAGCGTAAAACGCAGCGAACTCACCCAAGGCAAACCAATATTCTATCCCTCCCCAACAAGACTGTCGATCTTCAGGCGTCAACGCCGAATCTGCAAACGTCTTCCACGACTTTTGTACAGGCGCATCACACCACACGTCCACGATAGCCTCCACGTTCCGGCCTTCGTACATCGCCTTGATGAAATCAAACACATTGTCGTATTTCCCCTCCTTGTACCTTTGACGGTAGAAAGAATAGGTACTCGCGAGATGTGTGTGCGTGTCGACGATGCCTAAAGAAGACGGAGGCGTGGGCAGGAGGAGGTGTTCTTCCCCGGGTGTGTTTGACTTTTTCTTCCCCATTTTCGATTGATTGTTGGAAGAGTTTTTGTTCGAAGGTTTTTTAGAGGAGGGTTTGGTGTTGGTCGTGGTGTTTGGACGCGGTGCTGGGTTGCTGGATGACATTTGTGAGGTGGAGATGCAACGGAAAATGATTCTGGAGATAGGAAGCTGGCGATGCACCTTTAAAAAGAGCGAAAGTGACATGCAACGAGGTGGGATGAGTCGAAATGTCACGATTGCGGAAGACGGGTCCGGATGGCATTTTGATGGCGGTTCCCGAGCGCTGAATTTTGATGAATCGTCTTGGCGTTGAACGTTTGAAAGTTGATCGTTGAAACGTTGATTTTTCAAGTTTTCCAGTTTCACTCTCTCAAAAGTCGAGGAATGTCCTTGCTTTACCTCCCAACAGAGCTACTAACCGACATTTTTGGACATCTTTGGGACGATCACCGAGCACTTAGCGCTTGTGCCCTCGCATGTCGCCGCCTGCAGCCTGTATGTCAAAAAGCCCTCTTCTTCCAGATCACCTGGGACATGGCAGCACACCGGGCAGAACCGCGCTTCGACCCCATCCCCCGACTCTACGAGATGCCTTTCACGGAGTCGCCGCGCCTCGCGTCATATGTGGTTCGCCTCGACATCAAGATCGTATGCGCGCCATATTACTCACCTGAGCCATTCGTGTCTTTGATGGCTTGGGCGGCTGCACTTCAAAACTTGACGTGTCTACGTGACTTGCGTATACTCGGATCTCCAAGGGCACAGATATCTTGGAAAAGGTTGCTCGACGAATTGCAAATCTTGATTATGAAAGTAATTCGAGAACAACCCCTTACAAGGGTCTGCCTCACATACATCACGGATATGCCAACGGCGCCTTTTCTCGACTCATCTATTCGCCAGCTTTCCCTCTCATCTGTATCATGGAACGACGCACAGGCTTCTGAAACTGCCCCCGTCAAGGCGCCAACCCTTCAGTCACTCAATATCACACTTCAAGTTACCAAAGATTCACTCTCCACAATCGACCACCTTGTGTGTGACAATCCACCCTTCGACCTGAGCGAGCTTCAGTCCCTACGTATCTCAGTCAGATTCAACATCCTAAGCGAGGTTCACCTCATAAAAATCCGGAGACTGTTGAGCCAGGTTGCGGGGACACTCAAATGTCTATGGATCCACTGCAACTTGGAAGGTTAGTTGCTTATACCAATGAAAGTCGTACTTTCTTCTGACTTGCTCTGGATAACTAGCCGACTTTCCCAACTTTGAATCACAACGTTATCCCATGTTACGAACCTTCAGTAGACGGTTCACCATTTGGTTTAACAGCGACGGCTTTATCGAACCAGACCCACTTCCCTTCCTTTTGAAAATGATACCAAATGCAGGATCATACCCCACCAGTCTCGAATTTCATTTGATTCTCCAGCTCGTCGTTTTCATGCATCATCCGCGCTGCTCACTTGACGGGCTAGGAGCGTGGACCCAGCTAGCTCAGGCGTTGGCGCCGATGTCCTGTCGATTAACGATATCGATTTGGTCGCATTACGAATCCCGCATTCCGGAGCTTGTGTCTTTGTTTGAAGGTCAATTTTCGGAGATGCACGCTCAGCGTCGTTTGTTGGTGGTGAACATGGGTTTCTACTGCAGCTAAAAATTTTATATTCCTGATGAATGGAGAGGAATTTATCTATACGGTCTAGATGTGATGTGGGTACTTGATATCTCTCTGTGTATATGTGGAAAGCGACTCAATGCATGACAAAAATTGGGAAACCCCTCGAAACATCTCAGCGGGGTTTCTCCTCTACCTCCGCTCAAAGAGCTGTCGATTTGGCGGTGGGCGTCTCCTCCCTCTTTTTCCACTGCCTTTCCCCTTGTAATTGTCCATTTCCCTTTCCATCACCATCAATCGTTTCACAGCCAGTTTCCCGGTCTCAATTTCTCCTTTATTCTTCACGGATCTTGGCAATCATCGAGCTCAAATTTGAACCCCAGCATTAAGCTTGGGGCCGAGGGCGAGAAATCAGGTACTAATCGTCTTGCAATGCTTTGATCCTTGGGAGCTTCATTACATGCCGTGTCCCGCGCAGGGGCGACGATATCATGGCTCAATCCGTCCTTTGCTGAAGTCGTGGTGGATGCAGGGGCCTCGGTTGTGGGTGCGGAAACGTTCCGATTGAGAGTCGCCTTAGAGCTTTGTCAATATTATTGTTGCTTGGTGTAAATGATCATCCATGTGCGTCACGCATCATGTCTGTTTTTAGCCCTGCCCGACGAGGGGTCTCATCAGGTCTCAAAGATTTCATCTGCTACCAATTCACAACATGAGCTACAACCTCGCTGCACCCTCTACGTTCTCTAATGAAACTGGCTCCTTTTCAGGAGCAGGCGACTCTGGAAGAAAGGACCATCGCACCATTGCCGCACTACCCGAAATGCCAGAGGTTCGCCATGTCCAAATCCCCAATCCCGCATATGTCCCGGCTTCCAAGAGAGATTCATCCCATCCTGGAAAGCGCAAGTCTCGAAAAAAAATCCCTCGCACTATTACTACCGCAATTTACGAGCCGCGGCCGTCTACTGATCTTCCCCCAGTTCCAAAAGTAGACGACGGCCAGGTAGTGTCGTATGTGCGCCAGCTAATGAAGCGCTATGATATGACGTGGGATGAGGTTGTGGAAATGCTTGTCGCACTGCATGGTAGTCTCGAGCGTGCCGTGTGGTCAAATGAGATGGGTGAGGCTGAAGCCAAAGAGAGGCTCAATCGGTTGAACGCGCCTCCGGATGGAGTGGAATTCGGTGCCATCGGTGTGTGAGTCACTTCAGTGATCTAGAATTCAATAATATTTTCTCATAAGAAATTCCTCTAGCGTAAACCCAAGCCCGGAGAAGAGGTGACTGCCGCGCGACTAGGGCCCGACCTCTCGATCCGGGTTTGGCCTGGTGATCATAATGATTGCTATGCTTTTGATTTTGCGAACGGTCAAGGCCAGTACATTTGCACACCTGAGGACATCGAGATCTGGTCTATGCCCTCCGGACTCGGCATGCCTGCTCCCGTTCGGTCCATCGAGGCGTCGGTAGGGTTCCTAGCGACCCCCTTCTTCAATCTGGACATTAACAAGGGCAAGTTCAAACCTGATTTGAATTGGGAGACCTATATTATCCCGCAAGGCACCACCCTCCGTATCATGCAACGCGGACATGAAGATTGCTTTCTTGCAATACCTTCGCGGGAGATGAATCCTGCCAACGTCCTTGTTCTCCAGCCTTGGGCACCTATGCGAGACTGATCGGTCTGGTTTGCGCTCGCATGCGGACGCTGTCGTGAGCTTCTTCTTTTCTTCGTACGTCTTGTTATTCCGGCGTTGATGTCTTATACCTGCGGCGTGCTCAGTGTTCTTGACCTTCAATTATGTTGTTTTCTTAGTCGCAACGCGTCGAACTTCAATTGTTATTGCCGGTGTACAATGCTCATATGCCTTGTTGTCCCTAGATGCCGGGTATATTTTGAGTCGTCATAATGTCGAGCAGA